GACCACCCCAGAGGGGACGACTCTGCTCTGCTCTATCTCTCGCGGGAGGGAGGAGGGAGTATGGGAGGCAGAAGATAAGATCATATCGTAAATGGTACGGCCATCGAATTCAAGATAATATCCTATATCATATACGATGGTATAAGATCGGATCAGTTCGGATAACATGACATAATATATGGTCATCTGAGATATGGTAAGATCAAATAAACTGATGTAAGATGATATAAGATCGATCGCGAAGCGAGTAGGTAAGGAGGGAGGGAGCAAGAGGGAGTGCGAGGGAGGTGGGGAGGGAGGAGAGGGAACAGGGAACTTGTGAACAGCTGAAGAACAGCATGCGAGTCGAACACTTGGCTTGAGAGCCAGGAGGCAACAGCCTCGGAAGCGGGAGCGGGGATCGCAGTGCGGAACCGAACCGCTCGACCAGACGATGGCGGGCCCCACAGACAGGTCCGCGGCAGCCTGCCTCGGCAAGAGCCCGAGACAGGCCGCTACATCGTGGTCGTTTTTTTATCCGTTGTTCTACCGATCGGCGCGGGCCCTCGCACCCCCCCCTCCCACCCCCTATGGAGTAGATCTTGGCTGTTTTTGGCGCCTGTTTCAAGCAGGTGGAGTCTTCCCCGCAGGACGCACGGTCCCAAACAGTCGCACTAAGCAGAGTTCCGGAGCCAGACCCCCCCATCCCCCCCCCTTTCGCCCAATGTCGAAACGCCGAATAAAAGAACGCTCATTTGCCTCGGCAAGAGCCCGAGACAGGCCGCTACATCCCTGGCTCGGGACCACGGAGAATCTCGTTTCACAGGCCACCGCTGAACAGCCGAGGTCTCGCCCTTGCACGGGCACGGGCATCGATCAGTCGTGGCTCCCTCGTGTTATTCGGCGGACTCGAGTCTCGGGTCCCTCCTCCTCCTCCTCCTCCTCCTCCTCCTCCCTCCTCCTCCTCCTCCTCCTCCTCTGTCCATCCGTTGCGCCTTCCCAGTTTCCTGCCCCCTCCTCCCCCTTCGTCTTACCCCCTCCCGGTTCTCTTCCCCTTCCTTGCGCCCACACTTGGTCGCGACACTCTAGCTTTCTGCCGTTCGGGGGGTCGGAGAAGGCGATCTCGCGGTGGGGAGAGGCGGGGAAGGGGAAGGGGAAAGCATCGAAGGGAAAAGGAAAAGGAAGGGGAGGAAGGTGAACGGTTGCAGACTGGCAGGGCAGGATGTAGGAGGGAGGTACTGGACAAGCTAGTTGCGAGCGCGCCATGTCTGACATCCGACCCTTCCCACCCATCCATTCGTAGAACTCTGATTCAAAAGCTCAGAGTGGTCGGTGCCTGGTCCTCTGAGCTGGGAGGGCCTTGAGACTTCCACTAGATTGTCTGGCTGTTCCCTCTGTCCTCCTCTTGCTCCACTGCTGTTCCGCGTTCCTCTCCTGCTGTCTGTGCGTGTGTGTGTGTGTGTGTTTATTTTGGGGCCTGTCGGGCCATAGCGACAATTCGAATGTTCACGTGTGCTCGCTTCCCCGGACCTTACCAACGCGTTGTTGGTTCGCCTATTGCAGCTCGGGCTCCGCAGTCACATCTCCGACGTCGTCATCGATAACTCCGATTGTCTTTACCCGCCAATGGGTAACCTAGCGAGCTTGGATCGCCAACACATACACACACATACACATGCACCGTGTGATGCGCAGTCAAGAATGGAAACTCTCTGCATTGGATGAGGCTGTGGCGGATGAGCAGGGAAACGAGAGGGATGAGGAAGGGGGGGAAGCAGCGGAAGCAGAAACGGGAAGAGCGGGAAGAGCAGGAGGACCAGGGGAAGGTGGGGGATAGGGAAGCAATGGGGCGAGAACGACGAGGAGGCAATCGGACCCAGAGGAGTGGCCCGCGCTGGGGCGAGAGCGCCATCCTGAACGGCGGAAGCACAGCGCCGATCCTGGAATGGGGCCAACGCTGCAGCGGGAACACCACTCAGAGAGGCAGGGCGGATGAGAGGCAGAGGATGAGGAGCAGGAGGAGGACGGGGACGGCGAGGACAGGGCGTCAAGGGGAAGGGTGAACGAGGATGGGGAGGGAAACGGGGGGAGCATAGGGATTGGATTGGACACATTGTTTGGATTGGACACACTGGGGGGAGGGGACGAGCCAGCGGAAGTAGCGGGGCCAGTGCTGCTTGACTTCTGGCATGGGCCAGAGTCGCAAGCAGCCCGTTTCTGGGCTTGGTGTCTTTGGCAACCACGGTGCCAATTGTCCCTGCTCGTCCTCCCCGTCCTCCTCTTCCTGTTCCACCTCCCCTCTGCCCGAGTCCCGAGTCCAGGACCATTTCAGAGGTTCGTCGCGCTTCATTCCCTGCCATTTTCCTCCAACACCTTTCGACATGGCGTCGGACAACGGAAGGAGTGGGAGTGGATCCCCCTGCCTCCCGCTACGCCGGGGAGTGTAGGGAGGAGGAGGAGGACGACGACGAGGAGCAGCAGCAGGAGCAGCAGCAGCAGGAGCGGGAGGAGCACGAAGAGCAGGAGGATTCAGGAGGCAGAGGAGAAGGAGGAGGAGGAGGAGGAAGAGGAGGAGGAGGAAAACCACGGGCTGAGGAGGGGCGGGGCCGTCGTCTCGTCGGTCGCCCCCGCCGCTCGTGGCCGCGCGCAGCGCGCCATCGGCGCCGCAGCCGCGGCGGCGCAGTGCCGTCACGCCCCGAGAGGGCGAGCCCGCCTGGCACAGGCGCCAACGGGAGGAGAGGGCCAACGCCAGGACCCTCTTCCGCGTGCTGGACGCTGCGCACATCCTCAGCAGCCACCACAAAGCGCAGCAGCCCCAGCAGCAGCAGTCCCAGTGCAACCATGGCTCCAGCGCGACCAGCAGGACGAGATGGCGCAGCAGGGGCGCTGAACAGGCACAGCCCACGGCCTGACGGACAGCACCTCGGCAGTTGGACCGCCAGTTGGAGCTCAGCCATGGCCATGGAGAAGACCATCACGAGGGAGGTCATCGGCGAGGGCTCCACAATGGCACGGCCAAATCAACAACCACAACCACAACCACAACCACAACCAGCACAACACATACCAGAGGAACTACAACCAGAAGGAGAAGAAGAAAACATACAGGTCCGCACCCAGAAGGCGCCACGATCCAAGCAGAGGTAACCAGCCAGACACCACACAGGCGATCCAGATGCAGGAGTTCGTCTACACGAAGAAGCAGCAGGACATCATCGACGAGCTCATCCCGAGTACTGAGGTGATGGCGGTAAACCAAGAGGCCCTCTCCGACCCCCTTCACGAGACGGCCGCAGTATGTGGAAGCAGACCAAGGCGGCGCGACTTGGACGGCTCGCTGATCAGCTCGCTGGAGCTCGACAGGCAGGAGTGGGCGCAGGACGACTCATCGACGAATTGGAAATTACAAATGTACGATCAACCTGACCATCGAGCCGAATGCGAGGATCAAGATCTACAGAGAGGACCTGGACGTGGTCAACAAGAAGAGGAGAGCGATCGCAGAAAAAGCCGAATAATGGAACGATCAACTGGAAAAGTCCGACGCGGATGCAGTCATGACCAAGGCTCTCACAACGGAAGCAAAAGGTCCGCGAGGTATTCACGAGCGATTAGAAGCCGGAGCTGCAAGTTCAAGCTGCGAAGGAGACGGAGGAGAAACATCGGATGAAAGCAGGGGCGACAGGAAGGCTCGCGAGAAGACACCGCATCCACGGCGGCAAGGTCAGAAAGCACAACGTGGCCAAGCGCACGATGGACAACATCTTACAAGGATGATCGAGGAATTCAACAAGCGTCTGGACATGCAGCAAGAAGAGTGCGTCCAGCACCAGCGCCACCTCCAATTCTTTCACAGCGAGCGCAACGCCAACATCCGAAAGGACGAGCGGCGCAGCCGAACTGACGAAGAAGATTGCCAGACCATGAAACATGAGCACAGGGAGCTGAAGACGGACATGGCCGCGAAGACTCTCGACAGCACGGCCAAGGCCCTGGAGCGACAGAAGGGGCACTTCGAACGGCAGAGCACGAAGCAGAACACGAAGGCGACGCAAGAAGTCGATGAAGCTAAAGCTGTTACCGCGGAGGCCGGGCACAGGCAAAATGAGGAAGAGCAAAGCATCCAGAAGAAGACACTTGAAACAAGAACCACATGGAAGGCAGCTTGCAGACATGGCCTGGAAGGCAGCTTGCAGACATGGCCCGGGGAAGCTCGGGGGGCAAAGAAGACGATTCAGAGAGGGGCGCGAGCACCACAAGGAGAAGTTGCATAAGGAGGCGCGCATCCACTTCGCGGAGACGCAGTCCAGGATTACCAGGGGGCACGAGCTGAAGGAGAAGGAAATACAAGCAAGGCGCAAAGAACAGCTTAGGGTGCAATGGGCCCATCATCAGAAGCACGAACAGTTGCAACGCGAACAACAGCAACTACGTCGACAGATAGTCGAAGCTGAAGACCGCCTCAACCACGATAATATCAACGCGCAGGACGCGCAGACCGCAACGTGGGAGTCAATTCACAAGATGGGAGAACATGAACGTGCACTACAACAGAGGAACGAGCGAGCACAACATCAAGTACAAGAGTGGCTAAGAAACGAGCAGACTACTTGGACTTGGCAGGCGATGGTGCAACAGTCGCAGCTATGCGCCAACAACTGGGAGCACGCTGCGACGCGACGCTACGACGAGTACGAGGAACAGCGCAGAGCTTACCGCTAACGCATACATGAAGAAGCACTACAACATGAACAACGACCGCAACTTCAAGCACGTGAGCCCAGGCTGCGATTTCATGAAGAACTACGTCAACAACAAGCCATCATCGCGGAAGAGTGCGCACAACATGATTACCATCACCGAGCTCTCGAAGGCGCCAGAGAAGGAGCTGATCATGAACGAGGAAATGGAAGCGGGGACCATCGGCGAAATGGAACTCGAGATTGGCAGGGACATAGAGGAAGAAACGCGAAGACAGTATCTGGCAACCATCGGGCAGCAGGGAATCGACGTGGAGATGG